TCACTGACTGTAAGCCATCTGTTTTGCCCGCCTACATTTTACTTCTGCAAAACCTTAAACCTACCTCTCTACCTCAGGGACTATAGAAAGGAATTAGAACTCTTCTGCTTTTCATTATCACAAGATTCAGTAACTCATTTCATTGTCAAGATAATCCCCTTTTACTCTTTCTTTTGCGCTTACAGGGTATGCCAAAATGACAAATAAAATCCCAGATGTTACAGACCCAATGAGGTCTCCACCTTTCCTTGAGTGTTGGGTTTAAGCTACTTGGGACACAGTGTCAACAATGACAGAACCCTTATGCCCACACCCAATATTCATTAAGGTTTGCTAGTGATTTGTATAGATGTCTACAAGCTGTACTTCCACTTCAATCCTCAGTGGCTGCTTAAAGTTAAGTTTGTCCTCTGGCTTTTACTGTCAAAGAATTCATTTCCTATTGTTCAGGCACTGGAAAGAGATGTTATTTCTTTCTAAGTAATAAGGGTCTTTGGGGTGTTGTAAAAGGCTTATTATTGCAACATATTATTTTAGGTAGTCATATCTAATTTAATGTTTTATTTCCCCTTAGGCTAACTTGCATCTCTGCAGCATCCATAGGCTATGATGATGTCTTAAAAAATTTTCCTCAGGAGATCCAGTTAACTATGGAATGAAAAACTTTGTATCAATTAATAACCTGGTTTCACTTTTCAGTACATGAAAAGGAACTTTAGGTTCTTTGTCTTTTATAGGTCCTGAACTCCGTGACCACAAGAAGTATTTCGTATATGTGAAAATAATGTGGCTATGTTTTCTTTCTCTTGTTTTGTTTAGCCACAAAGATAAGTATATCTGGATGACAGCAGTGGACGTAGTGAAAGTTACTGAAACCACAGTTGTTTGACCAGAAGGAACTCAACTCATTGTTTTCTGCCTAGGTGACAAGTCCTTGATGTACCTTTTGACGAGAGTGAGTCCTTACAACTTTTTCCCAATTCTACTGAAATGGTACCCAAAATAGTCTGTCTTAGGCTCTTCCCTCTTGTGCTGCCTAAATTGTTTTTATCCTATTTTCTCCTCTTCCTTGTCAATATGGAGGTTGCCTATATTAGTGCTCTTGAGAAAGAGCAAGGCAGCCTGAAGTACATCAATTTCACAGCTCTCAACTGCATATTCTTGTTTGCTGAAATCTGGGGCATGCTGCTCTAATAGAGCCACGATATCCTCTGACAAAGGGAGCTATAGTGTACAGCTCACTCCCTATCTGCCTGTGGAAACTGCTGCACAGCTACTTCAGAATTTACAAGTACAGATTACGGTTTCTGCAAAATGACACACTTCCAATAGAAATAAGGATTGCGTTGTGTATATATGTGGGGGAAAGATTTTAAGTTTTTAATTTTTCTAAGAAGATACTATAAAATAGGATGGGTTTAATGGATTCAAAGAAATATTATCTACCTTAAAATCTTTCACTATATAATTTCTAAATGAGATTCATTTTGTTACTGACAACATAATCATCAGATTTTCTGAAATATACACCACCTTTAAAAAATACAAGCATTATGTCTACTAAAAATCAGAATGTTAGGGCCATTTTACTAAAGACACTTGGGAAAATGTAAGTATTCTAGCAGAAACAGAGCTGGGTTATTGTAAGTCACTGCTACACAAGCATCTGCAGATTAAAAATTAGAAACAAGTTCCTTGAAAGTCTCATACTTTAGTATTGGAGGCTTAGAAGAATTGTTGCATTTTTTTTTGATAAAGTGGAAAATATTTAACCATTTCATTTTGTTTTAATCACTTCAGTGAATAATTTGTAATGATAAAGTGGAAAATATTTAACCATTTCATTTTGTTTTAATCACTTCAGTGAATAATTTGTAAATATTTGGTTTAAAAAATGAGTAAATGAATATAAAAGCAATTCAGATTATTTAAATGTACTGACAATGTTTGGGCCAAAACATTAACTTTTTTCTTTCATGCTTTTATTATTCCCTTTTTGCACATACTTTCTATAAGATTATGACAGTTTGATAATAAAAAAATGTAATCATTAAGTGAACTGAAATATTTTTTGTTTCTCTGACAAGTGAAGGAACATGCCTATAACACATTCCAGTGGCATTTCTCTAAATATTATTTAGCATATGAGTCCTCTAGCATTACAAATTTATTTCAGCTCCTAAATTAAAATTCATCTGGAAAAGGCCATTTTCCCCTGTTTATATAACATTGTCACATAAAGAGTGTTAAAAAAATATTTCACTAAAAATAGCTTGCGTAAATTAGGGATTAGAGTAGTTTCTGCTGCTATAATTGCTCCTTTGTAGTTTTTTCCATGATGTTTTGCACAGTGTTTTTAACTGTGTTTATTAAAGTCAGCACATCAAAAAGGATCAAAGAGAAAGTGAGTGAGAACCAAAGAAATCCCAAGTGTGTTGTCTCATTGGGGAGCTATGCAGATTCGAATAAACAAGTGCAAATTGTTGAGGTTTTAATGAAAATTTCTACAATTATTTTATCTTAAGTCATTCTATACAATAACATCTGTACAGCAGATGGCTATACTGTACCAAGGCAATGCTCCTTTTTCTTTCTCTGTTTAATAGTACATCTGAGATGACTACTTTTGTCACTGTGCTCAATTTGGTTCAGCAAATAATTTGAAAAGTGCAGCTGCTGCAGATGGTCACAATAGTTACATAAACTGGAAAATCAAAGACACAGTTAAGTATTTCTGTATTAGAGTCAAACTATAAAAAGCTGACATTAACTCTTTGAGTTCAAAGATATAAAAGTCTGAATGTAGAATGATATCACTTGAAAATCACAGAAGGAGTAAGGTGTGTGCACATGAATATGTACAAGCACTTGTGATGAATGCTATTTGTCACTTATCAAAATTCTACCTTGAAAAATATATTTGCATACATTTAATATAAACTACAAAGAATGACATTTCAAGTTACTTAAAAACATGATAAAGTTCAAAGCTTAAATTATTTTTTATTTAAAAAATACAATTAAAATTAATTTTCTAAAAATATGAATCTCTAAATTAAAAATTTCCTAGAAATCACCTTGTAGCTAGAACTCGATACAATCTTATTTCACCTAATTAAAATTAATCATTTTGCTGACTTTATCTTTTTGCTTTTGTGTACTATCACATAAAGTTGAAATGTGGAAATAGATTTTGATGTTTTTCTATGGTCTCAAAATAAAAATTTTCCTATGAAACGTTCAACTTTAATTTGAAACAAATAACTATTTTAGAATGTTTGCTGGACACTATCAGTAGATTTATAAAGTACGTCTTCAAAAAAGCTATAATTTCTATTTCTAGGTGTACCTAGATTTAAGAAGTAATTGTAAAGTGGAAAGAGGTATGTAGTTTTTCTAATAGAAAGAGGAAGACAAATTCAAAATATACTGAGTCTATTAATTTATACGGCCCAGTGAGAAGATTTTAATTATATTTTAGAAACAAATGTTTAGTAAGGATAGACACCATTAAAATGGATAAAATATGAGTAGCAAATTAATTTAAAAGCAGTAAGGAGGGAAAAAAAGGACTTAAGAGTTGAATACAGTATGTTTAAATTCTTCCACAGTCCTAACCTTTCCTTGCTATGATTAAGGTACAACTATAAAGGCGTGGGAACCAGTCCAGTGTTTGGGCTGCAATTTATTTCTGGATATTCGGACATTGTAGCATCCAGTGTTTCACAGTCTTTCATGTCTTGTGAACCTTACATTTTTTCATTTCTAACTTTAAAGACAATAAAAAAATACAGAGATTTTAGCTGGCTTGGTTACAAATATTTCTTGTGGGAAAGATATAAATCATCTATGCTTTGGCTTAAAATTCGTACATTTTAACAGTAAAACTTTCTTTATCTCTTAAACTACTGTGCCTAAAGTAGATCTGTGGAACTAAATTACAGTTAGTCTCTAGCTGCCACTTAATTACTTTTTGTAAGTAACTGAGCTGTACATAGTTTAAGGGCTTATTCTACCACAGGACTATCCCATAGCCCCAACTTTTCCCCCTACAAATTAAAATGGAAAAAAAAGATAGTTCCCTTTAGCTATTTTTACTTTCAGAGTGAATTTTCTGGCACTGCGCCTTCAACTTTTACAGTAGCAGTTTCTATGATTGAAAACTGTGATTTCCCACCTGTGTGTTGCCTTTTTTCTTCCCCTCCTCAAATTCCTTCTGCCCACCCTTTTCAATTCAGCATGAAAAGCACATAACAACTTAGTCATGGTAACAGAAGAGAAAAATGTCGATGTCACTGCCAGTTAACCTCTCACCTCTCCACCCATCAATGACATTCAGTCTTCAGGGTCCAAGCCACTGCCTTTCCTTGCCAGGTGTTGCTACCTGATAAAATGCCTCAAAGGCATTCTTACAAAGTTGAACCTTGGTTTCTATTACACTTTGTGTAGCAAATGTTCAACCACAGTAATTTTTCTTTTTTAAGTAAATTGTTACCAGTGAATTACTGCAGTGTACCAGAATCACCTGTGGTGCTTACTGAAGTAAAGTACTAGGATTTGTGGTCAGGATGGTGTGTGAGAATCTGCATTTCCAACGAGGGTCCAAGTGATACTCATGTTACTGGCCCTGAGGCCATATTGTAAGAACTATTTTAACAGTTCACAAAACTGGACACTCTTGTTCAACCACAGCTATTTTAGGTGAAAAGAAATTAGGAATTAACAGTTTTAAAGATATCTGTAGAAACACATCTCAAGAAGGGTGTAGTAACAGTTTACTTTAGGGTATTAAAACACCTAGGCTCAAAAGAATTGCTATAAAACTATTTCTGCAACAAGGTCATAAACTAGAAATGTTACCATCTCTAATGGCCTTTAAAAGTTAACTTCTACATAATATATCTTCAAAATGATGCATTTTTCAGATGTTTGCAAATCATATCGCTTACTCTCTCTCCCCCTTTCTCACTTCCACACTGTCTTCTGTTTTTGTGACTTACCAGGTACTTTTTGTGCTGCTTTGACACTAAAGCTTCCGTTGAGGTTTGATAGTGATGCTAACAGGCATGGTTTGTTAGGATGAGGGACAGGTTCCATGGAGACCACGATCTGAGTAGTACGGACTGAAATTTTTTGAAAGTAGGAAATGGCTCGCCATGTGTTTTCTTGAAATGAAATCTTCCGCACTCCATCACTATGATCTTTAGGTTTGGACAACTTCCCATGGAAGCTGGAGACTGGAGGCTCATCTTTATTCAGCATGGTGCCTGACAGGGCTGAAGTGTCTTCGTGATGTGCAAAACTGTGTGCATTTTTAATCTTTTTTAAAAAGTGGTTTATCTGATCCAGTTTGGTAAAACTCAGGTTTATTTTCAAAGGCTTTGATATATCCAAGCTGATGTCCGCTACAGAAGTAAAAAAAGATAAGGAAATTAGTGAAGCTCTCATTAATACTCATTAGGATGCAAGAATTCATTATATTTCACTGCTCACTTAACTAATTTTTCCATATAGTTACTTTAAAGAATATTATCTTTGGACTAATTGCCTATAATCCTGGCCAATCATTGTGATTTCCTGATACAGCAAGGGCCACATATGGACATCAAGGCCCTTTATTTCCACTTTTACCTCCCTACCTCAAGGCAAAATGGAACAGGCTTTTCAATTTATTACTTGCCTGAAACCAACATTCTTTTTCCCAAGGAAAAAGAACTTCCTTTACTACCCACAACAATATTTGATACAAATACTGGTCATAATCAACACTGAATTCACGTAACTTACTTCCTTATCATTCTCTAATTGAGTTTTGAGGAAAATGCTGGTTTCTTTTGATCAGGTGCAAAACAGAAAAGTTCCTGTCCCTTCCCCTACAGTCTATGTTGATATAAGTTGAAATGTTTCAGTTTAACATAGTAAATGTAGATTTTTAAAATATGGGCTCATTTACATATGTCAGATACCAGATGTTGTCCTCATCACTTAGTGGCCTTACATTAAAACAAACTCGCCTTATTATCTCTATTTCATCTTATTTCACCTTTGATTTCCTTTTTCTCTGATTTTATTATCAATAAAACTTTAGACTAAGGATCTTGAAGGCAGAGAATGCCATACATCTTTATAACCCAGTGTTCAGCACACTGTGTATCACAAATGTATCTAACAGTGACTGTCAGGGCTTAACTGAATATAACAAATACTCATTTCATTGGAGCTCAAGGATGATATAACAGAAGATATAATCCCAGTGCAGACAGGAATAGCAATTATTGAGTCAGGTTAATGTTCTATTTCTATTTTCCTAAGGAGGCCTTTCCTCATCTTCCTTGGATTTTGGCACCTCTGGGTTTCCTCCTATACAGCCTGGCCCACTTTGGCACCACTTCTTTCAAACGTGTCCTCCTTCCTACTCATTCACTTGTCCTGTAAGGTCTAGCAAAACTCTGAGAGTCCTGGCTTCAGCAAGTTGTCCACTGGAAAAAAATCAGATAGCCAAGTCGCCCTTACACAATAATAAAATGTCCTCATCTCCTCATATATTTGAACAGAAAAGACACCGTAATTGAAAGGAATTTTTATTAGTGAATATTAGCTACACAGAATAGTATGTTTTATTTTGGTATATTCAAACATGCATATAGAATACTCTGATCATTTTCACCCCTCTGTCATCTCCTCTTTCCTTCCACCCACCCTCGTCCTCTTCTCTAATAGTCTGTGTTCTACTTTGATATCATCTCCCTCTTAAAATTTTTTAATTTTTTCTTAATTCCACACATGATAAAAAAGGTACTTCTGACTTCTTGAGTTTTATTTTTTTTAGCACGACCTTCAATTTCATCCATTTTCCTGCAAATGGCAAAATTTTATTCTTTTTAATGGCTGCATACTATTCAATTTCTGTGTATATTACTGAAAGAATGAAAATCAGTATACAATACAGATAATTGCCTACCTATATTTACACATATTTTAAGTGGCTTAACGGCTAGAGAGACGGGGAGTGGATTCAGCAGTATTTTAGAAGTAAAACCGATACACTGTGATAAGTGGATTGCGATTAGGGAAAGAGGTACTATGAGAAGTCAAAAAGTCAGATTTCTGTCTTGAGTCCCATGGTGGATTATACAGCTATTTAATGGATACAAGGAAAATAGAATGTCTCCACTAAATCCCTTTGAGAGGAATTAATGGATTGCTTTGGAGGGATTGATTTGTTGAGTCTGTGGGAGCTCAGTAGAAAAGGACAACCAGTTTATTTTCTAGTTTTCTCCGTTGTTACATTATTAAACATTAATTTAGCTACCATAGGCCAAATAATAGTTTAGGTACTAAGAATACTAAGAAACAGGAAAGTCTCTACTATTTAGGAGGAGCTCACAGTTCAGTGAACTATGGCAGATACTATAAAAAAATACATCCCATAAATAGATTCCTGGTGATAACAAAATACACAGGACTTCTGAAAGTGATGACGAGAGGCACCTCACTCACCAACAGCCGTGAAGAACGATTTCCAGAAGTGACTCAAGGACTGAGTCTCAGAAAATAAATTAGGCAAGTAGCTAGCGTTATAAGGTTTTCATCTGTGTTCCTCAGTCCGCAATAAAACCTAAGAGATGAGGGTCCACATCAAGACAGAAGCTGCCAATTCTCACATACACCATCCTATGGGTGCCCTGCCAATTTGCAGTCAAGAAAAAATTGGATCTCTTTGGTTTTTCAGTTTCTTTAGGTGAATGTTTGATTAACTTCCCATCCTAATCATATGGGCCCTCTAGAAGGAACATGAAGAAGACAACAGAGGAAGTCAGAGAAATATGAAGAACAGGCAGGGCTTTATGATAATTTACTGCTACTTTGAGGATAGTCCTTAGAGCTAAGGGCAACTGCTGGATAACAAGTGACAAGGAACTGGGAGCCTCAGTCCTACAAATCATAAGGAATTAGACTATACAAACAACTGGAGTTAGTTTAGAAGTACTGTAGATTCTTTCTAGGTGTCTCCAGATTAGGGTCTCACCCAAAAGACATACTGACTTTGTCCTCATGAGAGACCCTGAGCACAGAACCCAGCTGAACCCACCTGGACTTCTGAATTATAGGACTGTGAGAAAATAAATCTGTGTTGCTGTAATCTGTATTTGTTGTAATTTGGTATGTATTAATAGAAAATAAACAAATTCCAAATGCACATTTGTTTATATGACATTTCCAGGTTCTGATGTGAATACCAAACAAGTGACAAGCCTAGGAATATTTGCCTCAATTTCTTCTATCCTTTTCAAAAGTAAAAAGATCTAATATACCTTAACAATGTCTAATATGCTTTTCCGTTTCTTAGCTGCTTATTCTTTTTCTTTAAAAAATATTTCAGAGTTCCAAGAAAGAAGAAACCCTGTCTCTCAGTGGAGAGAATACAGCCATAAGGTCTATACAGAATAACTACTTGAGGCTTTTCAAGAGTAAAGGATAACAGATCAAGGAAGAAGAACAGAACCCTCTCCCTTTCCCCTAGCCTAACGGTTGTCACATGCAGACAAAGAAGAAAAGCCTCTATTTCTGAATTAGAAAAATGTGAAGGGCAACTACTAACGCTTAGACTGTGAAAATTCACCGCTTTTTAATTTTTTCTTCTTTTCCTCATTGTCTTGTACTCTAGAAGAAAAAAGTAAAGAACTTTTCTCAGTTCTTTGAATAAGACCACTATTACTGATATCAAAAACCAAGACAAAATAAGAAAACAAAATGCCCATATCCCTTAAGAACAGTGGCAGCTGGGCAAGAAGGCAAGAACCTGTAATCCCAGGATTTAGAGAAGCTGCAACAAGAGGATTCCAAGTTAAGAGTTCTGCCTGGGCAATTTAGTGAGACCTTGTCCGCCCACCAAAAAAAAAAAAAATTTTTTTTTAAAAGAGGAGACCGGGGATGAAGTTCAATTGTACAACACTCCTGCATTCCATCCCCCAAACCATAAACAAAACATGGAAACATAAAAATCCTATGTAAAGAAAAGGAAATCTAGCAAGACTATGACTAAGCAAGGTTTATTTTGGGATTGCAAGGATTAGATCAACCAGTGTAACAAAGTAACAGCTTGAAGGAAAAAAGGCATCAATTTTTAAAATTCAGTATCCAGTATCTATTACAAGAAGTCTTGGCAAACTATTAATACAGGGGGAATTCCTTAATCTCATAAATTTCAAACCTTTAACACCAAAATTATGAAAGACTGAATGCTTTCTTAAGAGCAAGAACAAAGCAAAATGTCTATTCTCATTACATGTAAGCGTAACAATGGAGAACACAGCCAATGAAACGGCAAGAAAAAAGGTATATAATGCATACTGATTGGAAAGAAATAAAACAATGCCTGTTTGCAGATTAATATGATTGTACATAAAGAAAACCCAGCAGGAATCTCTAGAAAACCTCCTAGAATTTCATAAGACACTTTCACAAAATCTCACAGTATAAGGCTACCTCACAAAAATCAATGGCATCTCTAAAAACTAACTGTACAGGTAGAATAAAAATTTAACACAGAGAACAGCATTTAAATAGCATTAAGTAAAAGAAATATTTAAATGTAAATCTAATAAAAATATTCAGAATCTGAATGCTGAAAACTACAATACTGATAAAAAGTTAGGGGCTGAAGTTGCAGCTGAGAGTAGGGCTCATGTTTAGCAAGCATACTCCACTGGGTTCAGTCCCTAGTGCTAATAAACATAATGTAACAGACAGAGACACGACACACATAACATATATACAAACTGGAAAATTCAACATAAAATAATTCTTCCTAGTTAATCTATAGTTTTAACACAATTCCAATAAAAATTCTAGCAGTATTTCTTTTAGATATAGATAAGCTGATTATAAAATTTATATAGCAAAGGAAAAGAACAAAAGTAACCAAAAGATTTTTGAAAAAGATATCACTGGAGCTCTCAAAGTACCTGATTTTAAGATTTACTATAAAGCTGCCATGATCAAGACAGTGTAGTCTTAGAGAAGGGATATATATGAATGAAATCAGTGGGTCAGAACAGAGAATCCAGAAATAGTCCAAATAAATGTTGTCAAATGATACTTGAAAAAATTAAATTAAATGGAGAAAGTAAGTTTTATCAACAAATGATGTTGGATATGTATGCAAAAAGAAAAAAAAATAGTACCTTGAACCCAGCTTCATACCTTATATAAAAATTACCTCAAATTGTAGTGGATTTATATATTAAAATACACAATTACAAAGTACTTTTAGGAGAAAGTATGGAGAAAATTTTCAAGTTCTGGAGATAGATTGCTCTGATGATACCAAAAAAGCACAATTCATTTAAAATTATAAGTTGGACTTCATCAAAATTAAAAATGCTTTCTAAAAAGTAGTGGT